GCAAACTTGCTGAGGGTACATTCTGTAGATAATGCCCAATATATAAGACTTTAAAAATCAATGCCAGCACTTTACATTTACCCCAGAAGCTGATAAAAATCCCAGGAAAACAGTGGGGTTTCAGTCTTCATTTCAACCAGTGTTCCCAGCGTTTCTGAGTTAAGTCCATGGACACCACAGAATAAAATGTTTGCCTCTCCCAGCAAGAGTCTACCTGATGCATTCACCTTTGGGGCATTAGAAAAAAGAATAATGCTGTAAAATAGAGATGCAAAAATTTAACAGCCAACCCAGCTACACATTCAGACCTATTGCTATAGGGCCTGTAGTTTTTGGTTTTTTTTTTAATTTATTATCTGTTGAACTAATCACTTTTTGCAAAAGGCAAATTCTGCAGTACAGAGATTTTCTGCAGTGATGTGGGCAGGCTTCAGCTTTGATTCCTCATCAACAGGACTGCAAATTGTCCTTGAGGTCTTCGGGCATCTAGACCTTTCAAAACCTCCTCTAGGAGCTGGAGTCTATGTGGTAGTGCAGGAACAAAGTTTATCTTTTAGCAGATAAAAATTGTTGTCAAGCTGAGTAAAGTTGCCTCTGCTATACCCTAGAAGCAAAAAAAAAAAAAAAAAAAAGGCCGATAGTGGGTTTATGCCACTGTATCCTTGGGATAGACCACCCCATCAGCACTTTCTGAAGAGCTCTCACTGCTCCATCACAGCAGGGGAAGGAGGAGGTGGTTTGGTCTTGTAGTCCCTACTGGCCCCAGTATTCCTAGTAACAGGAAGATAACCGTGCCTGTGAAAAATCTACTCTAAGTTTATAATTTCAAAACAGAAATACAGGAGACAAATGCTAACTGAAAAGAGAAGAACAGTATTTTAGCTACTAGGCAAGGACAGGATTTGGTCATCTAGGTTCTGCTCCTGTGTCTGCCAATGTTCTTGGCTAGTCTTATATGTGCTTAGCCTGGCCATCAAACCTTACAGCCTAGATTGATGTACCTTGAAAACACAGCTTGATTTCTAGAAATGCTGAGGGCTGGTGAATGGCAAGGCGGCTGGGGGGCTCCCCACGCCTTTCTGTACATCCCTTCTGCAAGGATGAGAAGTCCTGCAATTATCTGGAGTTATTATCTGGAACTATTGTCAGCTGCTGAATGGCAGAAGTGAGTACAAGCATACAAGCTGTGATGCATTAAATATGAAAGAGACATTACAGTTTTTGTTAAAAGTGCAAAAGTTCATCCTTTAACTCTTTCAAACTAGCACTGGAAACTTCTCTTAAGGATGGATGCATCCCACTTTTCACGAGCTACAGAAGTCAGGCTAGTAGCATGGGCAACTTAGATGTATAAAAGCTTTGTAAAACCCTGTTTGTTCTTTCTCTTTTCTTTTTTTTTTTTTTTTTTGTGAAAAGCTTCCTCAGCTCTGAGAGATGAATAACTGGTCACATCTGAGTTTCACAATCTGAGTACTATCAGAAAGAAATCAATATTGCATTCTGCCAGTACCTGCTTGAGTTTCATTGTGTGCTGTCAAAGACATCAGTCATGTTCAATCGCAGGAACTTCAACATATGAGATAAGGCCTCACTTTACCTGGCACTTTGGAAAGAATTCAGTCTGCAACAAGCAGTTCAAAACTCTATTAACCTAAATGCTTATACACATACACTGGCTGGATTGTGTTTAGCAAACTAAAGGATCTTCCTCAAAATGTTGTGAGAATAGAAAGAGACATCTGAATGAGCATGTTTCCCTTCAACACAGGCAGGGTTTGAGATATAAAACATAAAGGAAAAGTGAACAAGGATAGAGATGGGAACATTCACCTTTTTAGTGAATCTAAGATGTCTTTATTGGCATGGACCTGTCTGTGCACGCTACACTGGTAGTTCAAGGATTTAGAAAGAAGGCTGATTATGAATTGCCTTTTTCCTTTGTTCTTGCTGTTTTGTGAGATGCTTAATGGGACGAGGTAATGTCAATGCAGATGAGTTCACAGTTGCAGCTATCAAGGTGAATTCAGGAGAGTTAAAAAACAAAACCCAGTGAAGTTGAAATACAGAATGGATTAAGTGCCGTTATGCAGTTTAACTACAGTACCTATTAAAAGTGCTGGGTCATCCCACTTAAATTTAATCCCATAGCTGAGGTGGCTAAGCTCAGGAGCACTGTTGCCAAAGGCTTTCTGCAGGCAGAGGGAGTGGGTCAGTCCAAGCCACTCATTATGAGATTTTAGAGCAACCTCGGGGAGGTAGGAGGTTCTTTGGGTGAAGATTTTGATGTAAATAAAACCAAGACCTGGTTTTATTTTTTGCACTTTTAGGCACATTTGTATTTCTTTTGTAAATTATAATATTTTTTGCAAACAGTTTTACAAAAGGCATGTTTTATTTTGCAAACAGCCCCAGCTGATGGCGCAGTTATGAAGAAGTTCTTGCTGCCAAGGTTATGGAGCAGGAATTTCTCAGCTTCTACTTTTTACTTCTTCCTGAAATTGTTTTTCTTTTGGCTCAAAGCATTGAGCCCTACTAGAGGATTATCTCTACCCTTCTGTCCTCTCAGGGACAAATATATTTTTCAAGACACATGACTTAGATCCATTTCTCATTTAACCAAACCTCACACATAACACAACATGCCAGCATCCATCTAGAGACAGGTATGATTCAATCACAGTGGCATCAAAACCATATATACCCTATTTAGGTAGGGAATAATTGTTATTCCCAGTTCACTGACAAGGAGTCAAGCTGCAAGGAAACAAAATCAGTTGCCAAAGATCCTACAGACTGTTTGGGACATAGCTAAGAATTGATGCCAGGCTCCTTAGTACATCTAGTAACCCCAAGACATACATATTTGTAACAGCCTGTCACTATATTGTATGGACATGACATGTATGTGTATATATATAAATAAAATATACATATATATATGAAAGTTGATAAACATTTTTAATTGTCTTCATATAAACAGCAGAGAAAAAAAGCAGGGTTTATGAATAGCACAAACATTTCAGTCAAAAAACCTTGAGAGAGGGTTTTTAAGGATGGGAAACATATCTCTGACTAGATATTTGTAATTAAAAAGCAAAATAGAGCAATTATCTCTTTGCACAGAGATAGTGTCTTAAAATATGCTAAACATTTTGCTATGGCCATTATCAGGGAGAGTGTGGTCATGGCTAGATAGATTGGCTGGTAAAAGTACTGTGATTCAGATGTGCAGTAAAACAGTAAAATGCAGATCTGTCTCCCACATCATGATTAACTTCTCAGTCAGGGTAATTAAAATTAATTAAAAGCAAGTGTATACTTTCCTTTTTAACTAACCACACTGATGCAATTTATTATTATTAAAAAGAAACAAACAAACAAAAAAAATAAAAACACACAAGCCACAACACCCACCCCCACCCAACCCACCCCAAAAAAAAAAAACATCTCTTTCTACATTTGTACACAGCCAGATCATTGCCATTGAGTTCTGGGTGCAACACTGTAGCATTACAAGAATACTGCTGGGAGAATATGGTCTAGAGAATGTGAAGATAGCACAGAGTCACAGAATGTTAGGGGAGACCAGAAAGCCCACCCCCCCTGCCAGAGCAGGACCATCTAGTCTAGATATTGTTCAACAGAGAAAAAAAACTTTACAAAACCCCCATTTTTTCTGAGGAACTAACTATAAATAGCCTATAGCTTCCTTTGAATGTGAACATTGCAGAGCACTTCCATCTGGCTATTAATTTATTTCATAGAATTACAGAATTGCTTCAAGAAGACCTTCAAGGTTATTGAGTCCAACCATTAACCTAACTCTACCAAGTCCACTGTTAATCCATGTCCCTAAGCATCATACCTACATGACTTTTAAACACATTCAGGAGTGGTGATGCAACCAGTTCCCTGGGCAGCCTGTTCCAGTGCTTTACAACCTTTTGGTGAAGTAATTTTTCCTAATATCCAACCTAAACCTCCCCTGGAACAACTGGAGGCTGTTGCCCATTTTCCTATTGCTTGTTACTTGTGAGAAGAGACCAGCACCCACCTCTCTGCAACCTCCCATCAGGTAGTTGTAGAGAGCAATAAGGTCTCTCTTCAGCCTCATATTCTTCACACTAAATAGTCCCAGTATCCTCATCTGCTCCTCATAAGCCATGTTCCCCAGACCCCTCACCAGCTTAGTTACCCTTCTCTGGACCCTGCTCCAGCACCTCAATGTCTTCCTTTTATTGAGGGGCACAAAACTGAACATGGTATTTGAGGTGTGGCCTCACCAGTGCCAAGTACAGGGGGATGATCACTTCCCTGGTCCTACTGGCTACCCTTTTCTGGTACAAGCCAAGATGCTGTTGGCTTCCGTGGCCAGCTGGGCACAATCCTGGCTCATGTTTAGCCCGCTATTGATCAGTACCCCCAGGTCCCTTTCTGCCTGGCAGCTTTACAGCTGCTCTTCCCCAAGCCTGTAGCATTGCCTGGGGTTGTTGTGACCCAAGTGCAGGACCCAGCACTGGGTTGTCTTGAACCTCATACAGTTGGCCTTGGCCCATTGATCCAGCCTGTCCAGGTCCCTCTGAAGAACCTTACTACCCTCAGGCAGATCAATGCTTCTGCCCAGCTTGATGTCATCTGCAAACTTAGTGAGGGTGCCCTTGATCCCCTTGTTCAGATCATTGATAAAGATACTAAATAGGAGTGACCCCAGCACTGATCCCTGGGGAACACAATAGGTGCAATATTAGGTTATAATTATTACTGTTTTGATGATGATTAGTCTCAAATATATATGGTGTTGAGGAGCTGACCCAACATCCTTTGAAGTCCATTTAACTGAGATCAATGGTAAATGGATCAGAGGTACAGAGAACTGCAGGCAAAATGAAGTGGCTTTATGCTTTTTTTCCTGCCTCCTGTAATGATACAATCTGTAAACAAAGAAACCTTGTGCCTTACAGCCTTTTCCTCTCTCTTTTCTTTTTTTCAGATCATTTACCCACCTCCCTGTAAAAGTAATCCCATCACACGCGTTTGAAGGACTTAGAGATTCTTTTATCATGTAAGTCGTCAACATTTTCCATAGGCTTTTCCTTAATTTCTTTCTATAAATTCTATCATAAACCTCCATCTCACGTAACATCTCTTTACAATAACATGAAAATGTGTTGTTAAAACATACTACTGGTGAAACAAAACACTAGGGAAGGATAAACATAGCATTTCTGTCTGTATAAACAGTATGTAAATGATTCTTTGAAAAGTGTGGTTTTCAACAGTTGTTTAACAGATCACAAAATATTAATCACGTTGGAGAGAACTGGATTCAGCTTAATAACTGATGACAGGTACTTTTGATTGGCAGAGGAGATAGATTTCTATCATAAAACATTATCACCCCACGATAGCTATGGCATTCTGTGATTATACATTTATGTAGTACCCAAATACGATATTTCTTTGCATTTTGCACCAAGAGATAAGCTTGGCAGGGGATCAGTAGGACTGACTGAACCCTTTCTTGGATCTTTTGATTTACAAGTTTTTGATTTTGCACTCCAGGTCTGTGTTGCTTCCCCTGCCTTGGTTTTCTACCTATTTTATAGAAGGTCTCAGACCATAAGGTTCATCTGATCACTTTTGCCCTTCTCTTGTTATTCCAGCTGAAGGATGGCAGGCCTGGGTCAATTTTTTTTTTTAATTTTTTTATCTGCATTGAGTGGTCTTTAGAGGACAAAAGAACAGGGACTGTGCAGAACAGGGGAATGACCTCCAGTACAAATGATACCACTTTCTTTTCAAGGTGTACTTTTTATACTTCTCTTCAACTATGAAAAACTCACAATGCGTCAGATATTAAAATATGTATTAGATGTTACATAATTTGTTTTCAAGGAAACCAAAAGAAATTAGGAAACCCTTTCACTGTACATTCTTGAAGGCAAAGACTTGAACGAGGAGGGTAATACGAATGCTCAGATAGACTCAGCTGGACTAGTTGAGCTTTTTGTGTTCATTGGTTAAACATTTTTGGACAAGTTATAAACTTATGTGTTCATTTAGCTCTAAGAAGTGGAAAATAAGCTAAACTCCGCTGCATATATTCCACTGCAGTAAAGCATTATAGTACAATCCAATGGTGCTGTATTCTTGCATTCACTTGCATCTGAATGTTTAGTGAGAACTTTGCTTTCAAGTGGGAGACCAAATTAAATCTGCAAAGTTTCTCCTATGACTTGAAGCTAAACTTTCCCAGACTGTATCTACACACTATTCTTCACAGAGAATGTTCTGTTCATTGACATTTTCCCTTCAATAAAGAGAACTTAATTGATTTCTTTCTGTCCTTTTAATGTAGTGCTCTAAATTAACAGCATAGAAATCAATGCATTTGTCTGAACTAAATCTATAGAACACTCATAATTTTATTGAGATTTAGTGTTACTTTGAAAAATGCGTATTTTTAAATTATAACTCCCTAAATCATATATTGGGCAACTCATCACCATTTGCAAATCAGATGATATATTATTCTCACTGCTATAAATCATTCCAACATATGTAAATGGTAAGCCAGTGGCAGACTGGAGGGATCCACGGAAGGACCATGTTTCAGGCCCCAGACCTAAGAGTCCAAGTTCTGTGAGCAGGCACTGATCCCTCCTAGTCCATAAGTCTCTGATGATCAAGTACCCAGCAGGCCACTTGTTCTATATCCATTTCTCATTTATGACCAACAAGTGCAATACCAAAATAACAATCTCACTGAATTCTGAAAAAAATTGTGACTCTTTCTGTAATACACCCGTTTTTAATGTACAATTTCTAGTGTGCATCCCCCTTTGCCACTACAAATGAAAAAAAAGCCAATTGATTCTAGTCTAACCCAGACTCTTCCAGTTATATAAACAGCATTAGGAATTGTTTTGTCATAATTATAATTGGAATAACTCTCAGGACCGTGACAATACTGACTCTAATTTTGTACTTCTGTTTCAGTTGTTTAGAATTTTTTTTTTCTTGACAGTGTATAATTTTAGGTTTGTGTGCCCTTCCAGGCAGTTCTGTCAAGAGAAAACAATGTTTTGAAGACCTTTCCACTATATATGCATCAATATTTACTATTTACTCTCATGAGTCAACTTTGTGTAGCCCCATAAATCTTAATCTAGCAGGCATTTAACAACAATCAAATAAGGGGATTTATTTTTTCCTCTGTATTCAGCATTGGTTATTTTTAAGTACACGTTCAGAATAGGAGCATCAGTACATCAAAATCCTACAGTGCCTAAAGAACCAGTCATGTGGGTTGATGTAATGATGAAAAAGAGCCACTTCCTTTCAGTTTGCATGCCTGTAATGAAAATGGCATTTAAATCCAAAAATTATTCATGCAGTGCACTGAATGCATATTTTTGTATTTCTGCATCTGTGGATTAGATGACCATCATCCTGACTTAATAATAGTGTATGAAGCACCATGAACATTATCTACAACCTTGCCCCTGCAAATAAATGCACTAAGAACAGTAATAGGAGCAAAAGGCTCACAGGCTTGGGCTCACTGTTTACATTAGTTCTGGCCCCGAGTCACTACCTGAGCTACAATTTACTGAGAAAATGGAGACTGGCTGTTACAGAGATATTTATTCCAAGGGGTTAGCATTCCCTTTTGCCAAAACAGCAAAAGGCTGATCTCCCTCAAACCCTACTGGCACAAGCTCTCCAGATGTCCGAGGTGAGGCATTGACACTGCTGCTAAAGAAGAATTGAGAGGGGAGGTGGAACAACTATATGTAAAGGAAGAAAATACAAAGTGGAAAGCTGATTTCTAGTATCTTTTCTGTTCATGTATTGCTTTGTGTCTGCCTTTTTTCATTATAGTGAAATCTCTCAGAGCGACTCCCTGGAGAGAATAGAAGCGAGTGCATTTGACAGCCTTCCCACCTTGTCTGAAATGTAAGCATTAGTTAAAAAAAGGCATCCATGTCTGATCTTGGGATCATCAAGGAGTAAACAGTCTGCAGAGAAGTACTCTTGGACCAAACCTTCCTCTACTACTTTGGTTAGCTTTGATGAGAAACATTTCCCTCCAAAGTGCCATATAAAATAGTGAGCCCTCTGTAAGGTCTACCCTTGGAGACCTAAATCATGCAAAGACATCCATTCATGGAAAACCTCACTGCTTCCAGTAGCAGGAGGGGAGCTCAATGTCTGCTTCTGCCAGCACAGTTGAGCTTCCTAAGATTGGAAATAATTTGAGATGACAAGAGATGAGAAAAATCTTCCTTTTTGAAGATAGGTTTTCGAAGCCCTACAGTATTTAAATACAGCTGCTTGGTATTCATAGCTCTTCTTTTGAGCGCTAAAATATTACTCAAACAGAACATGTACTGATTTTAAACTTGACCTGCAGAGCACATGCATCTGAGAGAGAGAGTGAGTTAAAAGCAATGACTAGGAGAATGATCTGAAATATTTAGTGAAATTGGAAACTATAAATCTGATTCAATATCTCATTACTGCCTTTTTCACATAGCATGATCAGCAAGTGGCTTAAAAATGGTACAACCGAGTGAGGACAAATCCATCTCCTTTTTTTTTTTTTTCATACTTATTCTGAACTCCATTGAAGCCAGGTACATAAGAAAGAGATACAGATTTGTCCCTTTCTGATCAGGTCCAGTTTCCACTAGAATCAACAGTGGGTTTAGGGAGGGAATAAAATATTTGACCCCATGCATTCACCTACAATTTATGGATGGCTTGTCATTTGCCCATCTTCCAAAATGCTAAGCAAGAGCATTAAAGAGCTACAGGAGGCTAGCAAGAAAACCTGTTTGAATCTTCAGTGCTCTGTATGTCTCATACTGCAAGGGCTCAATGCCCCAAGCTGCACTCAAGGCCACTTTCAATGAGTGATGAGGGTATGTGGGTTCAATGGCATTCTTGAATTTGAACTCTTGTTGCAGTTTCATATGCTAACACCTTTGAATTTTGCAAATCACGCATAGGGAGAGAGATGGGCTACATCTGTTGGGCTTTTATGCAAATATATAGGTTTACCAGGCAGTATAGCTGCAGAAAGTGCTCCTTGATTGAGGTGGTCTGCTCATCTTTTGAGTGAGCACTAGCAAACAGTATTTCTCACACACTTATCTCCATCTCCTGGTTTCTACAGATCTAGGGCATCTGGTGCTACTGGCCACTACTCTGAGGATGTCCCTGGTGCTCTAAGAGATTAAACCATCTGAAGAACTACCTTTCCTGGCTAAGGCAGAGCATCAGTAATATGATAGAAACACAGGATGACGCAAAGGGACACGATGGTGGGGCAAGGACCAGGCACACACACACGCATGCAGAGCTCAGGCTCCTTGCTCAGCCTCACCTCTAAGACCACCTTTTGGAGGCACAATCATGATGGTAGTACGCTCATGCCTCTAAGCCCCTGTAGTAAAGCAGAGGCTCAGTGCATTAGGCATGCCATGAGCCCAGAAAACATATCCCAAAGAAACAGCAGATGATGGCAAGTTACTACCTCCTACTGGTGACCAGGATATCCAAACAAGATCATCTCAGATCATCATGAGCCATGAGAATTCAGAAGCTGTTATTTTTGTTGGCTACCTAACAATTACAGGCCACTTTCACTACCAGTAGTGTTTCAAATTGTAATTTGTAGAAAGTTTGTTCACAGCAGGAGAGCCTTCTGCTATATTCTGCACTTGAGTGTTTTCTGACAAGGCCAATTGCAAACAAAATTCAGGACCCTTCTAAATGTATAAAAATTAAAACTGAAACATTTTTCCCTCATTACAGATTAATCCTGAACACGAAAAATCTATTACACATAGAGGATGGAGCATTCAGAAACCTTCCAAGGCTAAAATACTTGTAAGAAAGAATTCTGTGTTTTTTCTGTTTGCCCTTTTTTTTTTCCCCCCTCTAAATGACTAGATTACAGAAAGGAGTATAAGGAGAAAAGACATTTTTCATGCACTACAGTACAGTAGTACATATATAATTTACAATAGCTTTAATATGCTGTTAACCAAAATTAGGTCTTTCAATAAGCAAGAAAATAAAGTAACACAGGGCAGGGAAGTAATGGGCAAAACAGTAATAAAGTCTGCAAATAATTAATTCTGCAAAGTGCTAAGTTCTAGAAGAAAGCTTTCAGATTGACAAGCTACCATGCAAAAGGGGTAACTAACCCTTCCTTCTGCTTAATGTAGGGAGAACAGGGACTGCCTCTCCAGGACACTGCTCAAGGATGCTACAAAACTTAATTTTTACAGGTCTTGCAACCACAATTGGAGCCTAATTAAAAATTATTATATATGTCACCTTTTAATGTATTGTTAAACTTGTACCTACCAAGTTGGCTTCTTGTTGCATACACTCTGGTAGTCTTTTCTCCTGTAAATAGGAACTGTGCTTTTCTCTAGGAGCATTTGTAACACCGGAATAAGACAATTTCCAGACCTAACACAGATCTTCTCCTTAGAAGCTCATTTCATTTTGTAAGTAGAGACCCAACCTAATGGAGCTGTGAGTCTTTTCCATCTTGTTCCTGCATCACTGACAAAGATGCCTTTTTTTTTCCCTGCCAAAGGGAGCTTTGTGATAACTTGCGTATGACAACGATACCACAAAACGCTTTCCAAGGGATGAACAATGAATCGCTGACGCTGTGAGTAAAATAGTCCTAGCTCCAGTTCCTTCTGTGTGGATAACACTTCTGCTTGAGGAAAGCAGACTGATTTTATAAAGACCTTGAAATTAAAACCTGCACAATATATGACTGTATTATGAGTTAAATTTTAAATACTTACAAAATAGAGGTGTGTTCTTCAAGCTGAAGAGCAAGGTTTTTCTCCACACGCTATCTTCATTTAGGAAAGAAAGAGGAGGAAGAATCCAAATCCTCATCTTCCCTGCAATGTTCTTTTTAATAATACCATCAACAGGACATAAACTCCAAAAGCTGCACTGGAGACCAAGGTCTCTCTTCTTCCCTTAGGGAGTGTGGTTTCTTGAAATAGTGCTTTCAGGGACCAACCAGGCTGACGCTACTGATCTAATGCTGCTGAGCTTCATCTGCACGGAAGGGTGAAAAGAATTGGTGTGAAATACCAGTGCTTGTTCTTATCCTGGTATCTTTTGACTTAGCTTATGTTAATTGCCATAAGCCTTCACACCCAAGACTTTCCTTTTAGCAAGCAGGATTCATTGCTACAGCCACCTGTGATGCAGGTGGGTTTGATGCTAGGTGAGATGCCCTACCCGAGGAATGCAAACAGCAGCAGAAAGCCACAATGAGGGGTCATTTGCAGGCACAACAAGAACAATGTATGGGTTTTTATCACCCTTGTCCTCACAAAAACTTCCACAAACAAGTGCTGAAATAAGAAAAAAGAAAAAAAATCACACACTGAGCCTCTCTGCAGGATGTGGCTGAAATTCAGGTCTGAGGAAGGACCAGCTGAGCCATAGAGGGCAGCAGCAGGCCACCTACTTTGTGGCCACAAACACCAATTTGGAGGCCAAAGCAAACCTCTGCAGACCACAGTGATTTAAAAAAGGCAGCAGACATCCAAATGGGGAGCCTTGCCTTGAGACAAGTGTGTACAGAATGCCCCCCACCAAAAAACTCCATGAATTCCATATTTGCACCTGCAGATGAGCTGTGCACATGGGCAAAAACTGCAGTTTACTGGGCTGGGCCCTTCACCAGGCTGATGTGCTGGCATGACTAATTTCAGCACAGATTTTATGTATTAACCAATACCTTCTGAAACTGTTAGAAGAACTGAGTACAAATGTGACTGAAGACTACTTCTACGTGATGTTAAAGAGGAGCAATTGCTTAGATTAGGGCATCATTTCCTCTTATAAACCTCTTTTCTACCAACAAGTTCTCAAAGTAACTTCAGCAAAATTACAGTTCTGTTAATGGAGCAAGAAAATGAACATAGAAGAGATGGAGAAAGGTGCTTAAGATTTTTCCTGTAACCTTAAAAGTGTATTACATCAGAGGGAATCTAACTCAGCCAGGAAACAGCCAATAATCTCTTTTTCTCCCATTTTGTGGTAGGGAGCTCGCCATAAGAGAAAAATAATTATGTTACCAGTTTTCCAGTTGTAGAGCTACACATTAACTCTGCCCCATGCAGTTAATTAGCTGAAGTAACCCCTGTTGTTGCAGTGTGGTCTGGTGAAACACAAGTAATCTAAGAAGGTGTAAAGTCAGCCTGCAGTAATACTTTGCACTACAAATAGCTAATTTCGTTTCCAACAGTTAGTGTTTCATGTGGGTAGGGAAATCAATCCTGTGTACCATTGTGTTTTTTAAGGAAATCACTAATTTCAGCATGGTGCTGAGATAGACCACTTCTCTTAACTAGTATAGCCAGGCTCTCCCCATACTTCAGCTTTTCTTGGGAGCAGGCTCCATAGCACCAGTTTCTGCTGTCCCAAAAGCACGTGGAAAAGCAACAACAGTAATTTTGTTTAATTTATCAACCGTGCCAGATTATCTGTTAGGGCTTAATATTCAAAATACTGTATACAAATTATTACATTGAAATGATACTGGAAACCTGGACTTAATATCACAAATTGATTTTTCTCAGTGAAATCAGACCCAGATTTCCTAGTGAAGGAAAAGAGCTAGACTGCAGGTGCAGCAGAGCTCAACCTTTAGATATCTGGCCCTAGGGTGGCACCAAGCGTCCCTGCGCAGCGCAGGGGACAGCAGGGTTTGTACAGCACAAATCAAGCCTGGCAGCAGTACTGTGGAGGAGCTGACAGCTCACGTACTGCTGGATGATGCACCACTCACCCCTGCCTCTCTGCAAAGCTGTCTCTTGGACTGCTGGAAGATTTGTCTGTCCACAGAGGGTTTGCAATCCAGCAGCACCCTCTGGGATTTAGAGTTGCTTTCCATCTGACACTTCTCCAGCCCTTGCAGTCTTCCATGTACACATGCAGACACCACAAAATCCAGGCTTCTGCCTTCAGGTTATTGTCTCTGTGCCAGGAGCTTACCTGCTAATGTCTTGTTTCTGGATCTCAGCCCAAGGTAGGCATAGGTGAGCCCTTTGGAGGGGGGAGGATCTGTACGTAAGCAAAGTTCTCTTCCAACAGCTAAACAGGAGGGTGCTTAGGGAATTTAAGATGCAATTTTATCTTAATTTTAGAGTTAAAGTAAGTCATGTAATAGTTACCTTTTTTCTAATCCCTCTAATCGTTGAAATGAATGCAGCATTAATATTTAAAACCTGTAGAGCATAACATGATCTCATTTTTCCAAATCTTTTTCCCTTACATCTTTTTTTTAATCCCCAGCAAATTGTATAAAAATGGATTTGAAGATATCCACAGCCATGCCTTCAATGGGACAAAGCTGAATCAATTGTGAGTGCTTCCCCTCCTCATTTTTGTTTTTCAAACAGTAATAGTTCAAATACAGCTTAACTGTCTGTGTCTTGCATTTCCTGATAGCCATTAGAAAACTGCATGTCTCAGTGTCATTGCCACCCATTGTTAATCCTGCAGCACTTGCTGCTTTTCCTGAAACACCATCCCTTAGAATGCTGCAGCTTTTATGAGAAAAGCTCATGACTGTTATGATAAAATAAATTCTTAAACTTAGCACCAATAGTGCTTGACACTGTAGCCCAAACTGAGGAATCTACATTCTACAACTGGAAATGTCAGTAGTTTTTAAGTCATTCTTATATGCCCTGGGACTAGCCTTTTGGCTTGGGCAAAGCATTTTTGTATGCTGCTGCTGCAGAGAAAAAAACCACACTGTTTGTTCCTGGTTTAAGTCAGAAGAAATTGGAAATCATCAGAATTATGATAATGGTCCGATGGCATGAGCAGAGGGAAAGGTCACATGAGAAATACAAGCACTCCCAGGCCAGATATTGCACTGACAGCTGCTGTGGTGGGAGAAAGGATTGAAATAAATGTGAAGAAACTAAGAAAGGGTTATTTTAAACTACAGATGTAAAGAGAGTTAATATTTGATTTCACAGAATCCTGAAGGACAATAAGAACCTCAGGCGAATACACAACGATGCCCTGAGAGGAGCCACAGGGCCAGATGTTCTGTAAGTATCCACCACTCTCTTATCTGGGTTTAGGGGTGTCCCATGGGAACTGCACTGTGCTAGGTACATGGGCTGTCTCATCCCAGCAAACATGCACTTTGAGTCTGGAAGGAGACTTGATCTCCTACCGTCTGCTTGCAAAATGGAAACACAAAGGAGATGTCATGAAACTACAGGGCAGAAGATTGTTTGCACAAATGTGTATCAGCCAGTTAGAGCATTGGCATTAACCTCTGCCTCTTTGAGATTTTGGCCTCTACTTTAATTTTGTCAGATCCTCTTGATCCTATTCTCATGCCTTATACTCTGACACTGCAAACTAACTTGTCTTTTGGTAAGATGAGTATGTTTTTTCAATATATTACTGTAGAATTTGGCTATCAAAGTGAACTAGCTGATTGCATGCTATAAGCCTGTAGTGAATAAAACACATTATTATCATCCACATGCTTTATTAATCAAGTACTTTCTAGAGTACCTACACTCACAGCACTGGCTGTAACTCCATGCAATAAAATACAATGGGAGGTTCTGTAAATAGCTCTCCGTGCCACACGTGCCATTTTGCTCCCTTTATTGGTGCTTTACAGTACATGGCATTACTCATACCACTTTGATACTTGCAGACCTTTTTCCTATTTAATGGCCTTAATCTGAAAATCCTGTCATGCCACAGAATCACAGAATAGGGGACCCACAACAATCATCAAGTCCAGCTCCCTGCTTCTTGCAGGACTACCTAAAACCAAACCATATGCCAGTGGTCTTTCCTCAAACAAGCAGGCCCTCTGAAATTAAGCCAAACTGCTTAAATTTGTCTTGGCAAGAACAATGGATTCTTTTGTGTGTTTTAATTAGTAACCAGTTCATTAGAACACCTAGAACAGTCCTTCAGAACCAAGCAGAAAGCCAGGACAGTGACTTACCTGTTAGCTGGCTAGAGAGTCACACTCACCCATTTTCTCTCCCTTTCTCTGGCCTGAAGTGCTGTCCCTCACTCCATGTACAGTAGCTTTCAAACAGAGGTCAGGGCACAGTCCCTGGAGTGGTGGGTTTTGGTTTCCCCAGAACAAAGTGAGCTCCTCGCCTCACTGAGGCTCCTGGGCTGCGGGAATGCTCTCATCCCACTGCCCTGCAGTTTCACAGACCATGTTTCTGAGCTGGATATCAGGTGCTGAAGCGGCTTTGTAGATTTAGACCTTTGTGAAAAAAACAAGTCACTGTTACCTACCATCATGCTGTGGTGGTATTTTTATACATCTGAAAAGAAAAGAATGCTCTCTTTATTTTGCAGGGATATTTCTTCAACGGCACTGGAGTCCCTGCCTAGTTACGGGCTTGAGGCCATTCAAGTCTTAAATGCAACATCATCTTACTCATTAAAGAGACTGCCACCACTGGATAAATTCAGCAGTCTTCTGGAAGCTGTTCTGACATACCCCAGCCACTGCTGTGCTTTTCGAAATCTAAGGACAGAAAAGTAAGTCTGAATAGCACGTTATTGTATTGCAGGACTTCAGAAGCTCCAAAATGGCAACACTGCTTTATTCAGCTCACAAAGTTTGATCATCCTTATTCCAGTTACAAGGAAGCTGTGGTCCATTGCAAAGCCTCGCACAAAACAGATCTCTGCTAAAACCAGGAAAAGTATCTCACTTTATTTTAGAATAGAAATGGATCCCATCCTGTGCCCAGGATGGGCCAGCTGAGCATTATTCTAAATTTGCTTAAAGCTTTTATTTTTCCTGGTATCTCAATTAAAAAGCCTACTGGCACATGGAAGATGTATCCCCAACAAAAGCACATTGCCCTAAAAATAAAGAACCCCCTGCAGCTTTTAGCTATATATCATGTTTAATGCAGGTGATAAGATGCCCTAGTAGAAAAGGCAGACTTTCAGTTACTCATTGAAATTAGGACCTAATACAAGCCTACAGAAAGAGGCTACTTGATTTAGTTCCAGTCATTTCAGATAACAACAGACCATATTGTTCTCCCCAGAACTGGAAACCATGGTGCAGAGAGAGCTTTGCATCTGCTAATTCAGGGGAGTCAATCTGAGACAACTAGAGCTATTTTTTCAGTGGTTTTGTTTCAAATAAATCAACCTTTGGTTGGCTTAAGCAGCCAAAGCAACTCCAAATCAGCTCAGTTGAAGCTATGAGCGTGCCTCGCTTCTTCTCTGTCTCAAATGAAGGGTACAGAAGAGATGTACTGAGCAGTCATTTGTGAGAAGCCTGATCTGTGTGACGTGCATGCCAGCCCATCAGGACTGTGTTGCAAAGGCAGACGTAGAACTCAATTCTTTAGGGTAAAATTAGGGGTGATGCCATGCTTTCTATGCCCACCTCATTTTGTTAAGTGGTTCTGCTTCTGCAAGAATAGAGGAAAGATTCTGCAGTCAAGGAACTCCATTGCTACCAAACTCTAATTTCATCCTAGATCAAGGTTCTGAGTGTATTAAATGCAGAAGCAATTCTAGGGGGAAAAAAAAAAAATATTCTAACTGAAGATAACTACATTTCTGATATTATATTAATGTTTAGGTGTTTGAATTTGCAGTGTGATCATGCTCTATAAAAACAGGAGTGCTTCAGTAAGTCACTTTCTTATACTTAGTGACTGTTTTTTCAGTAAACTGGGGAAAAAAATCCTACAAAACAGGAAACTAGTCTGGCCTCCTAACTGGGGCATCAGCTGGGTTCAGAGCAGTGCTGATCCATCACCTATCTGCACAGCCCTGGCTGCTGGTAAAGCCTGGACAAGCAACAGGCTTGGCAAGCAACAAGTCTTCTGTATGACCAGCTACTACAAAGGAATGAGAAGCAGATCTCTGGCTGTTTTCCTTGTCATCTACTGATGACAGCAAAAGACCTTGGAGACTGAGACCTCCCAAGACCTTCCAAGGTTACACAGGGAAGAGTTTTTCTGTGGTTATGCATTCTCATGGTCACGCAGCTGCAGCCTGTTTCTGTCTCCTCCTACCCCCTTCTGTTGCCCTGTATTCCAAATCCAATCATTCCATTCAGTTTTTACTACCCCTGCTCTATATGCCATTCCTCAGCACCTATAGACTGCACTCTCAGATTCAGCAGGTGATATGATGACACATTGGACTGGGCAGGCAGGTTCACTTCAGTCAGAGTCACAGACATTAGGGAAATAAAGTCCTCAGACCAAATACTCTGGAGATTTCTGGGGCACAGTTGTGGTGTGCTCATTCCATGTGCTGTGTAAGAGAGGCAGGAGGTAGCATTCAGTTCCCTAGGCTTTCTTCCACTGGCCTGAATGGGGTGGGGAAAATTATACTACATCTTCAAAAAATTACAAGAAAAAGCAATTCTGTTGCCATCCTGTTGTTCATAAGCATCACATAAGGGCTTATGTTGGTATCTTTTTTCTCTTATTATACAGAAAACTTTCTATAAGCCTCCAGTTGTCATTCTTTTAAGAGTACACAAAAGAGCTTAGTGGTTTTGCTGTCGTCTCCTACTATCACAGCAATGAAGTCAGACAAAGACATTTCCATTCACACTGGTAGATTACCTGGCCCAAACTTTCAAAACCTCAGAAACAGAGATTTTGCCAAGTATGTCATCCTTCAACTTGTAATTGTCAAATTGCCTTACTTCCAGCATGTAAAGTCTACCTCCAGATCCCAAACAGTTTTTTAAATAGAGTATTTGGCCACCTTTCCAGCATTTGTTAACATGCACTCTCTAAAAGCCAGTGTAAATGCTACCACTCATACTGGTGGAGAATCTGGCCCATTTCAGTATACTTAGTATTTCATAAGGCAAAACAGACTTTTTAATTCCAGCTCAAGTTATTTCACTGTAAAAAATACATTGTAAACAATAATTGAGCTGAAAGACCATCCTTATAAACCCCCATGAAATACTGCGTACTGTCGCAGTATCTGAAGCCTTTTCCTCCCCACTTCCAGAGGTCTGCATGAACGTTCACACTGCCATGAGAACAACTAGCTTACCTTACATGTTGGTGAAGATCACTTGCAGAGGAGATGAGAACGCTCTCAAATTCAAAATTCAGGCTGAAACTCAACATTCTTTTTCATCCTTTCAGACAAAATTCCTTGCTTTCCATTTTTGACAACTTCTCCAAAGAGTGTGAAAACACCATGAGGAAACCAACTAATGAGATATTGTAAGTACCTGTCTACATACAGAAGGTGGAAGCAGTAAATGCAGACCTCCCACTCCTGCTGTTGCTGTGTTTTTTCCTAGAACAGCATGTCTTTTGCTGCCAGTTCAGTCACCCTTACAAGTCGCACAGTGGTAATTTTACTATCATTAAATCAAGATTGGTTATTTTGATCTTCAAAAGAAAAGGGGGAAAAAAAAAACATAATTTCATGAGTTTTACTCACTCCAGCTTCTCTTTTGAATTCTTGAAAGACTTTCAAAACAGTGATTAAATATTTAAGAAAGTTAATGGTTTACATGGAGACTTTTCATGCCCTGAGATAATTGCAGCTGTTCGTGTGATTCAAAGAAGAGCTGCTAATGTTAACATTTTTTTTGCCTATAGAAAGGATAATTAGAAGTCTGTATATTAGTAGTTTTCTGTGGTAGAAATAGAGGCCCTGAGTTAGAAGTGTGATGACCCCATGCAATTAGTTTACCTCTTCTAAATGTTTCTTTCCATATCATCACAGTTCTGTTTGCTAGCGTTCAGTGGGGCAGTGAGAAGGGCTAACATCAAAATTGTTGCATTGGCAATGCTGGATGATACAGATTCTAAACCAGTGTTTAATGGAGCAATTTAAGTATTTGCTACTATTTATCCCTCTACAGCTAAATGGGAAACCTTGGGATTTATCAGCCCTGACATGGGGTCAGAGCATTGTAAAGTCTAGAATAAACAAGGCTATGGTCACAAAATTCCAACAGCTATATAAAGCTGAAATGTGATTGATTCACTGGGATACTGAACTCCTTGGACATCAGCTTTTTGCTGGTTGGTGAGGCCTTCCACACTTGTTATTTGGTTTTATCCAGACTTTTGTAAAGCAGCAGCTGCCTTGATTCCCCTGTCACTGCTGCTCATTTGCTGCCAGGCTGCAACTCCTTTGAGTGCCTCACTTAGTCAGCCCTGTCCTCTCCACTCCTAACTGCAAAACTGAAGCACTGCAGGCCTACAAAAAGGCAAAGTCCAGGCAGTCAACAAGAGCAAGAATGTATTGTTTCTATCAGGGGTGGCTCTAGGCAGAAGCAAGGTGAGGCAAGGAGGTAAACACGGAGCGTTAGATCACAGTATAAAGGCAAGTGAAGTGACACCTCAGTGATGAATGTGATCATACAAATCACCAGTGCCTACGCCAGAGCAATCCCCCTGCTTCGGAGCAGCATCTGTTGCACTCCTACCGTGCATTAGATAGTCTGCCCAGTTTATTGGCTCCTAATGCTTTTTAATTTTTATCCCCCAATCGCAGCAGTTCTCTGAGGAAACATTATATTAAGCAAATGGAAGTGAGCTCATGACTCATGGGCTGAATGGCTGCAAGTTGCAAAGGTTCAGAACTGTGGATGCTGACAGTTTGATCTGAGGTTATTTTCCACTGTTAGCTGCAGTCAGCAAGCTGCAGCTATTGCCTGTGAGAAAGTTTACTTTCTCACACACTGAGCTAGCCTGAGCTGTGAGAATGGAACGATAAACACCTGATAAACAACTCTGCATCTTGGCTTTGGTGAATGTTTGGGTTCAGTGACCAATGAATGTACCATAGCAACTTAGTAGCAAATAAACAAGTAACACAAATGTCGATAATCCAATGAATCTATAAAAGATGCTTACTGTAATAAAGTTGGTGGTATTCCTTCACCTTCTGACATTGGAGTCTATGTGTCGCCAAAAAGCAGCTCAGCTTCATTTGCCAGTTAAGATCCTGCTCCAGAAAAATAGTTTAATGTACATGCTTCTATAAAAGTCTGGGAGTTTAAGAGCATATTTAAGTTATCCCAAAGGTACCAGTTTTCTCAGGAGTTGTTCACAGAAGAGATGCTTTTTGCAGGTCTCAAACTGCAGATTGAGCATTTGCTCACCGAACACTCATGGTCAGGATGACCGGGTAGTTGTGAAACAGGTGCCTGTTCTAGTAGGGAACTGGAAGAGACAGTGTTTGCTTTTAAAATGTGGGCTTATGGACTTCTTTGGTGGGCCCACACTGTTGGTGACTTAGACATTACAGAGGTCTTTTAAGCACCTAAAACATTATTAATTAGGCATTGGGTGCAGTCTAAACTTAATATATTCCTAACCATCAACATTATCTAGCCTAGCCATGCACTCCTACTCATCACTTCATAATTCTGCAAACATCAAATTCCTCAGCACTTCCCAGGTCATACGTAGCCTGAGGACATTGTTTGCTAAGTGTGTTTCCTAGGGGAGGTAAGGGTGCATAGTTAAAATCCTTAGGTTATTTTAGTTTGGTGTCTATAACTGTCTTATTGATAAAAATATATGCATCAAACCTGTAATCCATCAATTTGACTGTCACTGTAGTTTGAACTGCATTCTACTGCCAGCTTGAGACTGATGCTTACAAAGCCATCAAGATGAAGTATTTACAAATAAGTTTTAGGCAAAAGCATTCCCGTGGGTGTGACTATGATTTCTGCTGCTCTCCAAGGCTGCTACCCAAATAAAAGTCATCCCTACAATTATACATAAACACCCTGTAGAAACACATGTAGGAAATCATTGTTTTAGAACAACTGTTACCAGTTGTATTTTACAGAAAAGTGCTAGCAGCATGTAACAAATTATTCACTTCTGTTTGTTGGGGGGTGGGGACGTGGTGTTTTTTTAATATTTACAGAGATGACTCTTACAACACATCGCTGTGGTCATCAGAAAAGAACATGTACCCATTCGCAGCAGACGAAGACACCTCCCCTTACAGCTACTCGGCCATTTTCGATGACAGCGAGATGACCGGCTTTGACTTTGAGTATGACTTTTGTCAGCCTAAAATACTGACGTGCACTCCAGAACCGGACGCGTTCAACCCCTGCGAAGACATCCTGGGATACAGCTTCCTCAGAGTCCTGATCTGGTTTATAAACATCCTTGCCATCACGGGCAACTTCACCGTACTCCTCGTTCTCATAACCAGCCGCTACAAGCTGACGGTTCCTCGGTTCCTCATGTGCAACCTGTCCTTCGCCGACTTCTGCATGGGGCTCTACCTGCTGCTCATCGCTTCCGTGGACGCCCAGACGAGCGGGCAGTACTACAACCACGCCATCGACTGGCAGACGGGCAGCGGCTGCGGCACCGCCGGCTTCTTCACGGTCTTCGCCAGCGAGCTGTCGGTGTACACGCTGACGGTGATCACGGTGGAGCGGTGGCACACCATCACCAACGCCATGCAGCTGGACCGCAAGCTGCGCCTCAGGCACGCTCTGCCCATCATGCTGGGGGGCTGGGTGTTCTCCATCCTCATAGCGCTGCTGCCTCTCTTAGGGGTCAGCAGCTACATGAAGGTCAGCATTTGTTTGCCCATGGATATTGAAACGGGTCTTTCCCAAGCCTACATATTGCTGATCTTAGCGCTCAATGTCGTCGCCTTCATAGTCATTTGTGCTTGCTACATCAAGATTTACATAGCCGTCCAGAATCCGGAGCTGGTAGCCGCCAACAAAGACACCAAGGTCGCCAAGAGGATGGCAATCCTCATCTTCACGGACTTCACCTGCATGGCCCCCATCTCCTTTTTTGCCATATCTGCTGCCTTTAAAGTGCCCCTCATCACAGTGACAAACTCCAAGATCTTGCTGGTTTTATTTTACCCCGTCAACTCCTGCGCAAACCCGTTCCTCTACGCAATTTTCACCAAAGCGTTCCGAAGGGATTTCTTTCTGCTGATGAGCAAGCTTGGCTGCTGTAAGAGCAGGGCGGAGCTTTACAGGATGAACTACTTCTCTGCTTACACCTCCAACTGCAAGAACGGCAGCTCGGCCACAGCCCCCAGCAAAGCCTCACAAGCGCTGCTGCTCTTGTCGGCGTTAGAGAAGCCGTGTCCCCCAGGACGAGACAAGACATCTTAGAACAAAAATTAATCCAATTTGGCTTGATTGAACCAATTTAAACCAATTGGAGCGCCGGTAGATGCAGCACTGTGCAAGGCCAGTTGTAATTATTCTAGTGACTAGGGATCTTTTTATAATATCTTGAACATTTCACAATAAATAAAAATGCCTATCGATAATTCTTATACAAGCTAACTGTTCTGACATTCAAAATTATATTTTCCCTTTTCTTCTTTTGCAATGATGGGCATGGAAGGTGACTGTTAGAAAAAACTACAGGGAACTAGAGGAGCCCAGAGGCAGTCAAGGTGCTCTTGAAGTTAACAGGTACTGCAGTGATTGCAGCCTTGCTCCTTTTTCTCCAGATCTGCTTCCCTGGAGTATTTAAAGCCTGTCTGCTGGCTTTCATGCCTTCTTTTTCCATTCCTATCAGCTTCTGCTGGCATTGCTGGGTTAAAGAAAGGGGCACTAAAGTAGATGCCTCCCTTCATTTCATCAACAGAAAGGTCCAATTACATAGCCACCTACACCCAGTTAAAGAAAAGTGTTCTAGGGCTAGGTTGTAAAGATGTCACCAAGAAGAAAAGTTGACCGGCTGAACCTTTGTTACTGGCAATTTTGCAGTTTATGTTAGATCTCAGTCTTAGCTGGTAGGTAATTTACTTGAAAAAATTAACCCGTACACAGCTGTGTATGATCCAGAGGTCACAAGAGATAAAATAGCTGTAGAACCCCATTTGCTGCACACAGGACTGTATTTTATACACCACATGTGCATGTGCACAGATCACGTAAGCTGTAGAGGCTCCCTCTCAGCAGCAGGAGAGCTGCTTCCTCCACACACAGATAAGCGCTTCCTCAGTTTCTCCCCAGGGACAGTCTCATGAATTACTTTTTATCTGCACACTCTCCAGCATCACCAGTGCCAGTAGCATTTGGGATGCACTGGGGACTCCTCAGCACTAGCAGGCCAACTCCCTTCCCACCTAATGAAGCAGAGTAGTTACTTTCCAGTGACCGTTTTCTCATTAAGATGATCTTTTCTCTCACCTTGCATTGCCTGATGGTAAGGAGATCCAGATTTGTGGCTGCATTTCTAATTTAAGTAAGAACCAAGCATTCCTTTGCAGTATATTTACTCTGTCCACAGCTGTCACCTTTATGCAGTTCGCTTGCCATGATCCAACACCACACTACTGAAGCTGGAGATTCAGATGTGGAAGCTCTTACCTGCATTGTATGGGCCAAACCATCTGTACTGGGCCCATCATAAAGAGGCTATGTTCTGCACTGCCTAGTCTTCTGAAAATGAGGTGGTTAGTTATTGGAAAGTTCACAGTCCTCTGGGCAAAAACAGATGCCAAAGCCGTCTCAAGCAGATCAAGCCTCTTCTTAGGTTGCTTATTCTTGTTGGTTACCTTGCCTCTGATGGGAGGAACACACAAGTGCTTACATTTCATCAAACCAATAAGGTAGCAGTGAGACCTACATGTGGCAGTTTATGGTTCACAGAAGGTAAATCAAATGTGGTTTATTTGGGCCTGTAGTTAAAAGTTTTAACATCTTGGATCACGTTCTCTCAGTGATGCTCACAAAATCTGAAGACAGAACCTCAGTGGGTATAATAGGCACCTCCCCTGCACCCAGCAGAGCAGTGCAGTTGTTTAAGATCTCTGCTTATTCCAGAACAGTCACAGCCTAACGCTTCTTGATGGCCATCAAAAGTGAAGGCTCTAATACACAGAAAAATTATATTTTTGCAGTCACTTTAAACCTCTTACATTCCCCTTCTCAACCCAGCCCTTTGCTTTCAAATCTGTGACAGCAAGAGTGAAAATCTGTGTTCCAAAGCACGCCTCTTGTTGCCAAAACACTGCAATTTAAATTCACTTTATGTTAAAGAAAGTCATTCTTTGTACTAGTGGCTGGTTTAGCATTAACTTATAATTTTGTTAATTAGAAATAACATCTCTGACCCTCTCTTCTCTTCAGCTTGATGCCATGATTTCAAGCCATATAAAAGCTGTGTATGCTTAAGCATGGCTGTACCCATGAGCAGCCCACACACATGGGGAATGGAGCAGGATCGAGAGCAGAGACTGTTAGAACTCTATGGTTTGGCAAGCAGTAAAAATTCCATATGATGCACATCTTTATACACACCAGCTCCTGCACTCAGCAGATGAGCAAACAGGACTATTATAGGATATTGAAATATAATAGAAACTAAAGACACCGATGAAAAAAGAACTACCTGGCCTAAGGCTTCTCTGTCACCCAGCTCAAAACTGGTTTTCAAGACCTGTTTCTTCAGACAGCACATGGAAGAGTCCTGCACATAGTGTCTTCAGTGGGCAATAACTGATTTACTTAAATTATTTTTCAACAGGACAAGAGCTTGCAAGCACACCCTCCCTGTCCACCTACCACGTAACATTATCAGGAAACTACATACAAGAGAAACGAGTTAGAAACAGTGGCAACTGATAGTAGCTGCCTTACAATGCTGCCTAGGTAACATCAAAGAAGTGTGAGAGCTGTGAGCATTTTTCCTTTTGTACCTGCTGTAAGTTGAGTGAAATCTACTATTCAGAAAATAATCGCTGGCTTAAAACAACCAACCACACAAACAACAAAAGTAATTTGTACATTTTAAATTTTTCTACATCCAAAAGTGAGCAAATAGGTAAAAGTAAGTTTATTAAAGATTTAGATTCATGCTAAAGCTTCTCATAGAAGTTAGGTTTGCTATTCTATCTTGTTATTTTTGGTAAACTTACCTTTTTTCCACTGTAAAATTTTAGACAGCCATTTACTGAAGTATCTTTGATGGCCGTAACTGGTATAACACATTCCTTCCCATCACTTCTGCAGCAACATTTGCTAAACTGTAAGTAATAGCAATAACCAAAAGCATTAATATGTAAACTATTCAGATCCAAAGCAGTCTGATCCAATTCCTGCTCAAATCATGGGCTACAGGAATGAGCTAACTGAGCTTACGTTTTAATAAGAAACATTTTATTCTGGTATAAAAATTCCTGACTTCAGATATATTTAGTTGTAAAGGCCTCATTCAAAAGCATTTTAAAATCTTTGCCATGTTCACTCAGGAACACTGGAAATAAAATGTAGGGCAATTCTTGTATGCTCAGAGGGAAGAAAATGAGTCAGTCCTCCTGAGGGAGTCCAAGCAGACAGTCCATAGCTCTGAACTGGGAAAAACACTGCAAGCACTCCTAGAAGACATGCAGTGTAGCTTGGAGGGAGCCAGGTCTGCAGCGTTGAGTTCAGTAGCCATCTTCTCTGATATGGGAAGGGTTAAGACAGAAAGAATAAAACCCTGCTCTAATCCCTAAAGCTTCTATATTTGATAGCTCAGGAAGGCAGTGGGATAGATCCCACATCAAGGTATCAAGAAGGTGCTGGGTTAAAAAAAGCAACTAAATGAAAACCCAGGGGATACTTGATTCTGTAGCTAAGCCATCTTCAGCATCCCTTTTGATGCACATCAGCTTTTACTAGGGTAAGAGCAGCTATGCATACTGTCAGCAAAGCTGCAGGAGGAAAGATGGCAAACAGCCCTTTGAGATTTTAATTCCTGATGGTACAACGTGATTTGTGAAAAAGCAAAAGAGGATGAAAAACATCACCAATGCTCAACCTGTAAAACTTTCAAGAAGTTTGGGAAGAGACCAGTGTTGAAGAAATACTGCCAATCTCCAATGTGCAGTCTATATCATCAATATCATACTGTCATAAAATTTAACTTGCAAAACTTCAAAACACAAGTGTTCCAAGAACAGAATAAAAAGGCAGATGAAGCTAACAGCTAGAAGGTATGTAGTAAGTACAAATGAGTAAAGCTTCAAGGAGATGAGGGGGTGGAATTCCTACTCCAATACTTCTCTCTCACACATCTCAGCACCCATTCAGAGGAACAAGGTTTGAAAAGGGAGAGGGAGAGAGAAGATGGGCGGTTACAAGGATGCTTAGAGCTCCAACTCCTCACCTTCACGTGGAGGCAGCCAACACCACAAGCACAAAGATGCAGCAAAGAGGAAAAAGCTGTCCATCTCTAAAGCTGGCTAAAAATTAGGTACTCTTTAGCAACTTCATTTTATAGTGACTAGTGAACGCAGGTCCTAGTCTCAGAAGAGCACGTGGTGCTTGGTGAACAGTGCAGATCCAGCCCCATCCCATGGATTCCTCCACCACACTGCCTCTGCTTCCTGTCTGCTGTGAAGCATCGCTACGCTGCCCAAGTTGAAGACCATCCCCCAGCCCATAACACACACATCTATGGAGCATGAACACCTCAGAGCCCAGGAGGGAGTGCTGAAATCTAAAAGCATCTATCATGTGGTAGGAGCTACATTTCCTGTGCATTTATGGGGCTGAAGGGTAGCACGAGCGCAGCTGCCAGTCAGCTGAATGGGGAAAAAGAAAACACACCCTGTAATACTGTAACTGTCTCTGAATATACAATTCTTCACATCCCAGCAGCAGTATCTCTAAATCACAAAAATGCCACACTCAGGTCAGACCTTCTAGTTCAGCATCCTATCTTTTGTACTGGACAGCAGCTATGTCAAAAAAAAGGCATGCAAGAAACTCAATAGGTTTTAAAGAACTGCCTCCTGGGGGAAGCATCTCTATTGTTTATGCATTTAGCACAAGGGTTTGTACCATTATGAACAAGGGTTTTTTCCCCCCTCCCCATTTCTTTTATATATTCACTCTTCTCCAACTACCCCCTTTCTTTCCATTCTCTTCTCAAAGCCTCTGCATCCTCCCAGGGAGCAGAGGTAACCAAAATGTCTGGCTTTACAGCAGATGTAAAAGCAGCAGCCAGGAGGGAGGGGTGCCACAGCCCTTTTAGCAGGACTATCCTATTCCAAAGCAGCCTGGCTGAGGCTTTACCGTTCACTTTCCAACACTGCCCTACAAGAACAGGAGCTAGCCAGGGCAAAGCTGCAGCTCTGAAGGGCTAGGTCCCAGGACTTTTTTGACCTCTTTGTAGAGCCACAAATAAAAAGCTCATGGGAGGTGCCCATTAATTAGGATGGATGTTAGAACTGAATGATCTTTAAAGTCCCTTCCAGCCCAAACCATTCTATGATTCTCATGTTGAGGAGTGCTGGGAGTGCAGTTCCCATGGCAGGGTGAGCTGCTGTCACAGGCATGGCTTGTACACATTTCTCTACACAAAGTTTATACTCAGGGAACACAAAAACAACTCTGTGCTAGAAATGTGTATGAGATGACATTTTATTATTACGCACAATTTGTATCATTCACAGCTTACTGGTCTGTAGCCCTAGAATGCACTGGATATGTACAGAAGCAAACTTAAATGACTTTGCATTGACAGTGAAAATAAATCACATTTTAATGTTAAATCACACTATTCATTGCATCTCAGTAGTCAGAGAGAGTACAGAATAAACAACAACAACTCTCATATTGAGAGCTCAAGAATCTTCCACCTACATTTCCCAACTTATATCTAAAATGCCTACCTTTAACCTGAAGTCAAAAACCCACACAGCAGCAACAAAAAAAGGAGGAAGGAAAAGGGAGAAAGAAGTACACAGCTGAAACAGCCAAAGCTTTCAGACTTCCATAGATGTTGCTCTTTTTTAAAAAACACAAAACTCAGTAGCCTTTGAAAAGAAATATAATACTACCAACAACAGTGTAGTTTTATATTTCAAGTCATACTTCATCTCTTATTTTAAGAAGTGGAAAGAAAACTAACAGAACTGAAATTTACTTAAATATAGTCACTTAGTATTCTGTGACTTGAATTACTAACAGATTCAACATTTTTGTCTTTAAAGCTATTCATTCCAGTGAGATTTCTTGGGTATAACAGTAATGAAATAATAAAAAAATAACAGCAAAGACAGCTAGCTGAGTAGCTAACAATACAGTGGTTTAGTCTGCATGTATTAACACTTACTTTGCATAGTTTTAACACAGATTTGTTGGTTTGGGTTTTTTTTAACATCAAAAAAATAGAAAGTCTAGTTGTTCCACAGAAAATTCATAAGGGAATAATGCCACAGTCTTGAAGTACAGACTTCAGTGAGATTTCACCACTCTGCATCTCCAACGGCTTTTGCAAAAACATGGTCTTTACCCTCAAAGGACATCACTCCATCTTTTAAGAAGAACTTCCATTTGTTCTTGCTTCGATGTATCTGATGGAAAACAGTAAGTCAGTCCCCCTCTCAACACATATTAGAGCATCCACTTAAAAAAAAAAAAGTGACTTTAAGCACAAGATAGGAAGTTTATCCTCGAGAGTTCAAAGTGAGGTTGAATTTTAAGCTTCTAATACAAAGGAGGACAAAATGGCCCTTAGCTGTTTTGTTTTTCAGGCACAACATAATTCTGGTAGGAAAATCTCTCAGTGAGCACTTCAAAGACAAAAAATGTAAAAAAAAAAAAAGTACACACACTCTGTTACACATGTCAGAAGTCTTAATTCATGGCTGAGACTGGCATACATACATCCATGGAGCTCTTGATACTACTTCAAAGATACAGAGATGTATATGCTGTGGCAGCTTTACAAATCTTCATTTTGCAAGACTTTGCCCCTTTTCCTTTAACGGGCCATTATGAACTCATTGATTATTCTTATTTCAGAGAACAGCAGGGAAGTCTTCAGACTATTGTCAGCTAAACACCCAATTTAAACACTCTTTTACAGCATTAGATTTTCTTTAAAAGGCACTGACCAGATATGGATTTGCCAAATGTGTTACTTAGAACAATTAAGGAACAAAGATAAAACTATATACTTTACCTTGTCATACTGACAAACTATCACATTATCAGTGTCAAACAAATCTGGAGTGTCCTGGTCACTGACATCATCACCAGAATTTAAGGGGTCCTAGAGATTAAAATTGTGTTTTATACATTCTTTCAGAATACCACTGAATGTATTTGACATTGAGTACACCTAGAACAATAAAGATTACCACTGCAAATACCAGGATCTAAAGGCTATGAAGACTATGTTGCACAAAGCTCATTTATAAGCATCTTTACATGTTTATGTTCTCAAAAAAACTCTAAACAAAAACACAGGTCAAAGAGCAAGACCTCTAACTGGCGAAGCTGGCCCCAGTAACTGGAATACTAAACAACTATTTATTTGAAGTCCAGATGCTATGAGATTATAGTCTTGTGAATCTCTAGGACACAAAATGGCACACAGGTACTGGTATCACACTGTTCTCCTCTCTAAGCCCCTGTGGTCCTTCAGAAGGAAAAGAAACCTAGACTTTTATTTACAATTGGGATACAAGGCAGAACGCCATTCCCTCGAGGCCAGGGGTTCACCAGAGAACTTTAATTCTGGTAATTAAGTATTTTAATTCAACCAATAAACAAATGACTTCTCAACACCTCTTTCATTTGTTGACCCTGCTCAATAAGCTCTCAAGTAACTTCTCAGCAATACCTCTTAGCTCAAGAGTATGTAACTTAACTACCCATTCCCTGCATTAAACTTACCAGAAATTGTTCTAGGTCAAACAACCCAACAGTCAAGACAGACACACTATTGCCATGTGCTTCATCAAGCTTAAAAGTAAATTACCTCTTCAACTACATCTATTTGGGGCTCTTCATTATCACAACCAGTGCCACTAGACTCCGTGTTTGAAATACTGTCACATTCTTCATCATCATCTTCCTCATCCTCCAGAACTTTTAGATCCTCCGATTCAATAATACCAATGAATTCATTCTCTTCCCTATCTTTTGTACATAGCATTTCTTCCTTGGGAGAAATGTCACCAGTACCATCTAGTTGAATTATGCCTTCAATGTCACTGCACGTAACCTCCTCTGATCCTAAATTAGACTCCATTTGCTCGGTAGGTTCCATCTGACAAGAAAAAGAGACCAGAGACAGCTTGTGAATTAATGCTACACAGCTTTCATTGTTCAGTACAAAGCTTGAGATTTTCGTTTAATAAAGCAAGAAGATCAGGGCATTAAAGTGACAGTTTCAAGTCCTGGCCTGCTTGTAAACCCTGAGTACAAAAATCTTATTCTTACACCTAATCTCAAATGGAATCCATGCCAAATATTCCTCAGCAACATAGAAAGACATTTTCTTAGACTCCTCTTTAAACACTATTGTACTCAAACAACTTCTTGAGACAATTGAGCAGGCCTCTACTATTTCTATTGGAAAAAAAAAAAAAAAAAAATCAAAAACCTCAAAAATACCATTTTTAATTTTTGAAATAAAAGTCAAGATGAACTCATCCCTCTCCTTCAACTCAATCAAAATGCTTTGTTTAAATAAGACATAAAAAGCTGAGACTAAATATTTCAGAACTTCAGTTTACTGTTGATAAATTGCTAGGACTCCTAAAAGGAGCATTCTCAGGAGCATAAAAGGGCTTTACACTTTCAGCCATCTTTGGCTTCTCATTAAATCTTTATTGTAGCACTTAATTCACATCCACATACACCTAGTTCAAGAAAATAATGCTGTTTTGACCTTCCACTCTTACTACAAAGTTCAGCTAGTAACATAACTGCCATTACTGCCATTAAACTTTAATGTAATAAATGTGCCTCAATCCCATAGAAGTGCTACAACCCTGAATTTAGAACATCTGCAAATAAATCCTGGAACAAAAATTAGATGAAGTCAGGAAAGTGGCCTGTTAAAGTCATTTAAGTTTTCCACACAGCCATTCTTCTAGCTTGCTCACGATTTTTCCCAAGAAAATACATTTCCTTCCAGCAGATTTTCACTTCTCAGAACTGAATTTTCATACCCAATATGCATTCTCAATGCAATTTAAACGCTCTTTGCACACCACAAGTTAAAACTAATCCCAGTAGGCACTTCAAAAGCCATTTGCCCACAACTGGCCAGGATCCATATGCAGATTCAGTGTCAGAATCACAAGAAGTTCTGAAAGGGTCATGTCACATCTGCTCAGTCACAATAAAAGAAAACTATTATCCCCAAAAATAGCAAGTCTAAGAATACATTCTGTCCATTAAACTTTTAGCTTTTTTTCAGACTGACATCTCTTCAGTGCCAGTATTTCAGCAATATCTGTAACAAATTCTTAATGAAAAATAAGCAGTCAGCTATTGTTATTCAAAGCAAGCTCAAGAATGAACTTCAATTGTAATAATAAAAACTATTATGATTTTTAGAGGTGCTGCTTGTCACTTACAGAAGTGTTTGTTCACATCTCTTACGATACTTCAAACAACCATCTCTAGCAGCTGTGTTTTCACCAGCTGAGAACTAAAAGGTCTCACCTTGTCAGAGGAAACAACGCTGTCCTCATATTTCAGTACAGCGTTAGCATCCAAATCTTCGCCTCCAATAATCATCTCAATGATATCATCAGACACCTGCTGATGCACCAATTCCTGAGGCTCAATGTCTAACTGCCCCTCCACATCCAGCAGCAGGCTGCTCGAGTTGTTTGCCAAGGATTCAACAGGAGAAAACCCTTCCAAGGATTCTGGAGTAAACACAGCTGTGTGAAGACTGCCAGGCTGGGATTTTTCTGTGGAGTCCACACGCTGATTCAACACCATGTTAGTCACAAGCTGCTGCTGCTGACTCACAGAAGGCTGCTGGACCAATGTAGTACTGACAGAGCTCTCCAGGTGGGTTTTTTCCATGACATTTGCTTGAAATACCACCGTCTGTTGGACAGCAGTCCCCTGGTGTGGCAATGTTCCAGCAGCTGCCTGGGCAGAAGGTGCATTCACCTGTGCAGCACTGGCAACGTTGGCTTGCAGAACTGAAGGGTGCCCAAGGGGATGAAATATCTGCTGAACAGGATGATGGAGAATACTTGCATCTCCTGAGGCCTGTGCAACCATAACAGGCATGTTCACCTTATAAAGGTGCCCTACAGAGAAGAGATAAAAAGTGCTTCAGCAGATTAAACCACATATTCATCCAGGCCACTGTCCTGCTACCACTAATAACCAATAGCAAACCCTCAGGCAAACTATGAGAAACAGGATGTCTACAAAGCAGTACTTTCTCCAAGCACAATTTCAGCCTTTGAAAATTAAGTGTTCAGAGGCTCTTCAAGTCAGAGCTTCCACACAGACCATCATGTTTAATATCCCTTTTTGGTTTGTTCACTATCCCTTTTTGGTTTTGGCTTTCACACTAGCCCATGGCAGTAAATTCAACAATTCAATTAAATCCTGGTTTGTTTTTTTTTGTTTGTTTGTTTGGAGAGTGTTTTGTTGTTTTTTTTCGTTGTTGTTTTTTTAAATAAAAAGGAAAATCCTGTTCTGAATTTGTTTCCATGTCATTTCAAAAATTAAGGAATATGAGATGAAGCAGTAAATTATTCCATAGCTACAGGGACCGTTTACTCCTTTGAAGACCTTTACGTATCCCCGTTAAAGAAACTGCCTAGTTTAATTTAAAAAAAACCAAAAAATTCCTAGTTTACCTGTCCTCCCATTATCTGAAAACCACTCCAAATACCAAATCCTTGAAGTTATTGTTATCAGTGTTAGAATTAAAATTCCAGAGCCAAGTTCCCATCGGAATTTAATTATCCTTTTCCCCACACTGAGTCACCAGTACCAGCCTATAGGGTCTCAAAACCTTCAGAATTATACCTGAAATATGTAGTGACATTGGTTCTTAAAGAACAGCTGTTTGAGGAAAGAGTCAATCTATGACTGAAACAAGCTTTCTGCTCATCACACCCTAAGCAGTACACACGCATTTCCGTACAAGCTGTGCAGGCAGTTTTATCAGCAAAAAAGTGTGAGCAAAAAGGTTAATGGATGGTTGGATTTCACTTGAATAAGAAATTAATTTGATTCTCATGCATCAGAATGTCTTCACCTTTATAAAACATGGAAGATTGCCGCTCATATAGGAGAAGGAGATAGGTATGTCTGGACTGACAATGGAGCACATTTGCAAGCAGGTGTAAGACAAAAAATGGCATCACCTGGCAGCCCACGTTAACTGATCTTGCAAGTGTCCACAACTGACACACTAAGTAAGCAATATAATTACTTCCCCCACACATCAATTACACAAACTACAAAGGAAGAAGGGGGTAACTGGCTCTACCCACCCTTAGCTTCCCATTTGTTTTATCTACTGTACTTGGGACCATCTTTCAACAGGCACACACAATCAAAGCACTGTAACATTTTCATCTTACCAGATGTTGTCTGCAGCGTCACTCCAGCTGGCACACGTATAGGATAAGCAATACCCGAAGGGAGAGTCAGAGCTGCACCCTCTTGTGAAGTACCCTAGACATACGAGAGCTTCATTAAGAAGCAGTGCATACTTTATCTCCTTAGGGCCCTAAATGCCACGTGTAACATACAGATGAAACACAAATGAGGGCCTTTTTGTGATCATCTTTACTGAAGAGTTACTTCAGACTTCTGAGATTCAGACAGAGTTTTCTGTATTGACAGGATAATGACTTTCCCTAAGTGTTCCCTGTTTTCCAGTTATCACATTCCCTTTTTGTTAACAGAAGGTTTTCCTGTACCCCCCCACTGTACACACCATTCAGAAAGGTATTTTTCTGCTCAGAGCCACTTTTACCCACACTTCTGCATCACTGCACACACCACAGACTCCTCACCTAGGCCTATGAAGTCACTTCACCTTCTCTCTTTCTCCTGGAAAGCAAAGAGTTGCATATACAGCTCCCTTTCAAACTAGCTGTTCTGTGGAAATCCAAATTCTACATCAGGAAACATACATGTTACATAAATAGCTTCCCAATACCATATTTCAGTTTGGCAAGGTACTTAGCTCAAGGCTTAGGAGGCACTAAGTTCATCAAGCTCTGACAATTAATAGTCCCTCCTCAGAGTTCAGAACCTGTCAGCTCTAAAAACATCCATTTTCTTCTGGGTGATTGCTATGCCTCACAGATAATGCTGCTCCCAGCTTCACTAGTGCTGGCATTTCCCAACTGTGTGTTATTTTAACACCCAGTAATAAAAAAAGGATCTGCAGAAGTGCATTTCCACTGCTCTCCTATGGGCTAAACACACGCAGCCATGTCTTCCAACACACTTCTGGCTGTGCTGCTTGCACAACCAACTGTTAGATCCCCATCCTTTTTCACTGCTTAAACATAAGCAGTACAGCTACAGCTCTCCCTCTGCAGACTCTTAATTTTTATATGATTTTCATTTTTTAAAAAAAAAAAAAAAAAAAGCTAGAAGTAACAACACTGAGCTTCTTCAGCTGTTGATGCTCCCTCAGCAGGACTCTGCTCCCTTGCTTCCTATACTATATTGGACAGATGAAATTGTCATGAGAAACGCCACTTTTTCAGTCCCTAAATGCTGTCCTAAACATCTGTACATAGAAAATATTTCATACTTGCCTCCCCTTAAACCCATCAACAACTGATAAACCTAATAATTTAGAATTCAGAATAATCAAAATTGAAATATAATGTCACTACAGCTACATACCATGTCTCCTGCTGGGAAATGCTGAAAACCTCTGCCAGGTGGGATGACTAAAGAAGCTAAAAAGAGAAAAAAAACACCACACCAACAAAAAAACCCACCACTTTACAAAACCCATTAATTTCTCAGACACAGTCAATCCTTCAGTAATGTACAGCAAGCACTGCTGAAACTAAAGCAATCTAACTGCAGTTCATACCCATTAGATCAACAAACAAGTGAGCAGCTCTAGATAAGGCTCTTCAATATACTTCTGTTTATGTCACTTCAAGCCTATGCTGTATGCACAGGGGGAGAGGTTATACCCTGAATTTATAAAAATTTCATTTTACTAAAAGATGGTCTTAGATTTGTTGTTGTTGTATTAAAATATTTCTATTTAACTATTTGATCTGTTTAAATTGTACTGTAAAAATATCAAGCATGCCATTTCCATTTATTACATCAATTAGATGTAATAAACTCTACCATTTTAACATGACCAACAACACTTATATAAAGTATACTTGTATGTATACAAAAAGTTACATGTGCTTTACATGTATGTAAAATTGCCTTGTCAACATGAGGAAAATGAACAAGTGTTTTTCTTCTCCAGAGCAAATCCAATGGTGCTAACAGAAGGAACAGTAGGGTGGGATTTTCAAAAGTATTCAATATTGACTTCAGTGGGAGAAGATAAACCAAAAGAAAACCTTTTATAGGCTTCAAGAGGCAAACAATTTAGGTAGCCCTACTTTAAAAAAATATCTAGCCATAAGACAACTCAATTCCCCATTTAAAAAAATAAATCAATCAATCACTGGCTTCAACAAGTTGTTTTGCCTTAGTATGGCCCTTCTGAAACTATGGACTAACAGGGTAAAGCTCATTAAATATAAAGCCTCCAAGAGCAAATAAACCCAAAAGTACATCCCCTTTAGCTACATGAAATAACTAACACCTGTATCTCCAAAACCAGTATGAAGACTGCAAAACCACAGATGAGGTATGCCTGCCCAACCTCAAAGTGTACTACAACACAGATTGTCATTAAATCATCTCCTGTTTTTTCTCTCTTTATGGGGAAAGGTCCTAACGGCCTCTCACACTAGAGAGGCCTCAGCTGAGCATTACACTCTAGGGTAGCATTACCACAGTGGCCAGCTGGCCTTAATTGAGAAGAACAGGTCCTGATACCAAAGGCTGTGTGAAAGTCTCTGCAACAGGGACACTGCTTTTAGGAAAACTGGCAGACAAACCAAAATAAACCTCCCTCTCTTTGAACAACTTATTACATTTTAACAGAGCCAGATGAAACTCCAACATGACAACAGAGCTGCATAGCACAAACATGTCATATAACCTCTGCACACCTCATACCACACACTAGTAGGAGAAATGAAAGCTTAACCCTATGGGTAAATTTGCAATTGAAGGGACACTTCAGGACTGCAGACAAGACAATTTTGTTACTGGAAATAAGCATCAGATCAAGAGTACACAGCCATACTTGCTTTATTTTACTTAAGTTGAATTATTTGTCAAATTCTGCATTCAAATAGTTACTGTTGCCCATCATGTCAGATATATACATAAACACTGCAAATCCAAGATTACTGCAGCACCTTCAAGTCTTTCAAAAACATTCTTGAATCACTGAGCTATTCTTAAATTGCATCTAACAATATCTGACCTGCTGAAGCCTGCAGAATGTGGTGAAAATTCTGTGGCAACTGCAGGGCAAACTGTGGAGGATCCTGGCTATGTCTGAAGAAGCCTTCTGTTGCTTTAGACTGCATCACCTTGGTTTCCCAAAGCTGCAGAAAGATTATCATTAAGGTCAAGAGATACCACCTTTAGAAACAAACCACATCTAAAATAATTATCAGATATAACTAGCTTTTCCAGAAGTAAATTGACTGATTTTATCTAACAAACATGGTAACAACCATTACTGAATTTTTACTTCCAGCAGCCCAACACTGAATTCTAAATATTCTGTGAACGACAAGTTAGGGCACAATGGTGCATGTTTTGGGGGGCCAAGAAACAGGCACATAATCTCCAAAGAAAAAGAATACATAACTTCTATTAATGCAGGAGAACCCAACAAACCTGCTTCAAGTTTTTCAGAACCTGTTCCTCTAAACCTTCTTCTGCAAAGAGTTCCCGCACACCTTCAATCACATCTTCGATAACAGACCTGTATAGTTTAGGCTACATAAAAAAAAACACCAAAATATTTTCAAGTTAAGATGAACAATCAGTAATTTGAAATGATAGCACAAAGTCTAATCTTGTTGCACAAACTACTGTTACAAACTGAACAGCATGAAGACATCCCAGTAATAAACTGAATATTCTCAAATCCAAATGTCCACAAGTCCACACGTTCTTTTAAATCTGACATCCCTGGGAACAGACATCCCTGGAAAAATACTGGATTTGAGCCTCAAGTTACTGATTTCTGCAGGCTACAGAAATGTTTAAAATCCTAGAAACTATAAGAACAATTGCTGTGCTGCCTTTTCAAAGAAGCATGTCCAAATTACCAGTTTAAAACTGACATTCACAGGTATCATTCTGGTGTCAGCTCCTCCAACTTAAAGACCAAGCAACAATAAAATCTACTAAAAATTAAATGTACCTATTTTATCATAAGCATAATATAAGTAACCTGAAAAGTAACAGATTTTTTTTTTCCTTTGGGGTAATAGTTTGATGCTATATAGTAGTTTAGGTATGGACATTTTAACACTACAGTTATCAATACATATCATTCATATTATATTACAACAGGACTCCAACACATTTTACTCCTCCTTCTCCACACACCAGTGATTAAATCCTAATCCTCCAGTCAGACCTGGACAACAGACACACGTGAGCTTCCAGATTCATCCACTCAGATGAAAATTAAGATAATACTCCTTTAACAATTTAAAGCTTATTAATCTTGACTATCATTACCACCAGAATAGCCTATACAAAGTGAAAGACGAAGCTGAGATTTTTAGGAAGCCTTAGAAGTTAAGATTCCAAGATATGAATTTACAATTTTCTAACTCAACATCAGATTAATATTTTACTGCTCTAAAGTTGTTCTAAACTGCAGACAATGATTTGTTCAATAAAACCCTCTAAGTTATTAAGAAGTAAAATATTACACTTGTTGCAAAAAGTTATCAGCACAACCTAGCACTACTTTAAAATAACCATACTCATGTATGATTTCTTATGGGAGGCTAGAGATCTCCAAGAATTCCCTCAGCATTTCAGGATACTAGGAAGATAAAGTAAGACAAAAAAAAAATTTACTCTTGCACCACTACCCTCAAAAAGATACTGACTAGCTTGCACATTGAATGCTTTGGCTTCATCATTAATCCAGAAGAGAGGCTGAACTTAAATCTTTCAGCAGGCCTATTCCTCTCCCAAGGATTGCCAAACTGTAGTAAGTACAAATATTTATTATGCTATATAAAAACTGTACATAGCAACTGTAAAATTCAAGCCCTACATGCTTCCAAATTATAGAAAAATGGTGACAGTGCAGATGTTACCAGAATTCAGTTCTACCCCAGAGCCAGGCCATCCAGATCAGAAATGGCCAACACTGCAAACTCAGGTTTTCTCTGCATAGAGCAGGGTGCAAAGGAGGGGCTTATCAACACCCCAGTTACAAAGGTTGGACTCGATGATCCCAGAGGTCCTTTCCAACCATAAGGATTCTATGATTCGATCCTACCAAAACCAAGTCTTAAAGTGAAGCCTCTAAGGCTTCCCTGAGGTTACCATCCTCTGAAGGACCACCTGAAGTCCTGCACAGGGAGAGGCAGCAACAGAGGAAACCCGGAGGGGACTAAAAGCCGCCGCCGTTCTCCTGGGCGCCTTGCACGGCGTCCCCCCGTGCTCACGCCAAGCCCCGACGCGGGCCTTTTGCCCACAGAACGCTTGTTTTTAATAAGCCCCCCCAACACCAACGGCTTTGGAAATGGTCCCCGGGCTTCCCGCGCCAGCGAGCGGCAGGCGGCACCGCTTCCC